CTCCAAACAGAGGAGTCTCTAGACCTCTCTCCTTTCCTCCCTGCCCTTTTCAGGTTGCAGAATCCTGGTTTATTGAGGCATCCCATGCATAGAAGCTGATTTGTTCCTTTGATCAGCTGTTCTGCTTTCTTCAGGACCTTTCACAGTTCCTCTGTATCAGCTTTGAGATGGGCAAATAGTTCAGAATCTAACACAGTATTCAGAATACAGGAGTCATGTGGATTAATGTGATGATATAAGTTGGTTCCCTTTTTGCTTTTCTGTTCTCCTTACATTCAGTTTCTAGCATTCCTCTTGTCTTCTGACTGTTTTGTTAATACTGTTATAGGAGACTCTGCCTCAATCTGAAGTTTATTTAGGTTGAGGTTTATTCAGGTTATTCTTGAAAAGAATAACCAACTCAATGCCTGACACCTAGAAGCTAAGGTTAGGGCTGTTGTTTTTCTATCTATTATGTCACTTCACATTTTTTCATTCCCAAGTTCATCTGTTGTTCTGTTATATAGTATTTCAATATTACGACGTTTCTATAGCATGGTGTAGTTTTTTCCTTTACTGTCATGAACGGACAGTTATCATTGGATAATTGTCATCTCAGATTTTGGGAGGGGTTTTTCAGACCATTTATGAATATTGCAGTGATTCCTGTAAGATAGTGACCTGGCTTCTCAAAAAGCATTATCATTTATGTCCTGTGTTTCCTTTCTGAAATGGTTTTCTATCTCTAACCTTTGTATCCTATGGCAGCTCAGATCTTTTAAGAGGCTTTCATGACAGATCTTATTTAATTTTTTTGGAAATCCAAGCAGACATTGTAAATCAGATCTGCCTCATTCACCAGCTGTTGGATCTCTCAGGAATTGAGGTAGGTTTGCAAGACTGCACTTTGTTTTACAATAGCCATGATGATTCTACCCCTTATAGTGTATTTATAGAAATACCTGCTACTTTTTATGTAGTTACTTGTGCTAATGTGGCTATTCTGTATATTGTGCTATACTGTCAAGGGTTTTCCATACTTGCTTTAGAATGCTTTTTTTGGAAAGATTTCCCTCAGTGTTCTGGCAGTAGAATAGTGTCAGGTAAGAGGTTTTATATCCTTCACCGTGTTTGAATGCCTGATCGTAGTCACTTTGTTGTTGTCTTTTCTCCCAGTTTCTTATACTAATACTTCACTTCAAAGAAATAGAAGCCAGGTGGTTCTGGTATGTTTTTGCCTAATGTTTAGGCTTTGTTTTTTGTGGGGTGTTGTCACCGTTTGACTCAGGTCCAACAACAATGCTCTCGATCCCCTCCCCCCCCAAAGGTAGGGAAGGAGAGAGAAAAAAAGAGAGAGACTTGGCTGGATTGAAAACTAAACTACACAGCTTTAATTAAAACCCTAATGAATAAGAGAATATATACAGATATATTCAGGTATGGGCAAAAGCCTCTCACCTCCCCCCATCCCCAACAACTCCCACAGCACTCCCCTGAGAATTAAGAGTCCCGAGGAATCCTGGAGATGCTGCTGGAGAAAGCGAAGAGTGATGAGGGGCAGGAGAGCTCGAGCCTAAGGGTAGACGGTGATGGATGGATGGATGGAGTCCTGCCCGGCCCCCAGCCATGGACGGAAGAGAAGGGAAGAAGAAGAAGGAAGGAAGTTGTCTTCTTTGATCTTTGAGCTTACGTAGATATGTGGAATGGAATATCTCTGGCCAATTTTGCTGTCTGTTTAACTCAGCTTTCTATGGGGGGGTCACAGATCTCCCCGTAGTGTCTGAGCCGGCAGAGTGAAGGTGCAACCTTGAAGCCTCAGTAGTTAGAAAAAGATTCCAGTGTCCAGCAGAACCCACAGTTGCTAGTTAAAAGAAAGCTTACTGAAGGAAAAAAAAATCAGTAAAAAGAAAATTGGCTTCATCCTGGCTCAAACCAGGACATGTGTATTTGGCTTTATTTGGTTTGATTTGGGGGGTTTTTTGTTTGGTTGTTTGTCTGGTTTTTGTTTGGGGTTTTTTGTTTGTTTGTTTGTTTTTTAGTTTGTGCCTGAATTTATAACCCTTTTTTCTTTTTTTTTTTTTTTTTCCCAACTTTTCTGAAGTATACTTTATTTCCAATGGCTTTGTTGTTGGTGGTTTTTTTTAATACCATTATGTTTAGCTTTAGGCTTCTTCAAAGCATTTTTTCTCTTTGACAGGCAGGTTGCATTTGCTCTGAAACTAGCATGATGTCTTGAAATAGTCTCATGTACAGAAAACATGCAGTTCTTTAAGTTTGATTTTTTCTGCTTTTGTGTGGTTCCTGTCTTTGAAATTGAGCATGGCAGTAGTTGATCTTCTAGCTTTGGGGGTCTGTAGAAATGCTGAATCTGATGCTGATAAAGTTCAGGTACATGGCAGAAATATGATAAACCAATTGTGTGTACTGGTCATGACTAAATCAAGAGTTGCTTGCCATTTTGTGGCTTTTCTGGCTCCCTTCTCATTAATCAGTTATTCGCAGCATCTGGAAATATAGTGTTGTCTGAGTGGTCAATGTAAAGATTTCACATTTTAATTCAGAGTAATTAAAATATTTTTAAATGATAGCACCCTGTGATTTCCACATTCTGTTGCCTTCCTGCCCCCGTGTTTCCTTTATACCTGCTGTGTCCATGTCCTTGTTTAAGGAAAGCATTCTGGGTCTGTGCCATCATTATCTTCTTGGAGAATTCTGTGAAACATTGAAAGCATTGTTTTGTCATTCTGTTGCTGTGTCCTGCTCATATGAGTCTTTTTTTAATTAATTTTGTTTACCATTTGACTTTTGTCACCTTCTATCTTTACTTGAGGATGCAGTATGTACCTCAGCACTCAGAAAAGTGCATCCTGTGTGCACGAGTCTGTTTTCTCCTACTCGTCAGTTTGAAACTTCTGTATGATCTTCCTAATGTGAGGTACAGATCCTATTTCCCTCCCAAATCAAGTGGAAATCCAGTCTTCCTTTGCTAGGCATAATCTACTCTATAAGCTTCCCCAGTCCCTGAAGAACTTGAGTCTCATTTCCTTACTCCATTGTTTTAGTTGTGCATTGAGACTCTCTCCTCCAGCTGTGTTATGAGGGTCCTGGTCTTTGTAATCATGTTTTGCCTCCAAAATCTCTCTTCTTTTTTATGTGGTACCCAGCCACCATAATGGCTGCCTTCTTCCCAGAGTTTACCAACTTGTCCAGACTTTTTTGGGAATATGTCAGTGTAGCACCAGTGGGCACATCAGTACACAGTCTCTGGAATCAGGAGCCAAACCCATTAGGTACCTGGTATCTGAACCACTGATGGCTATTGCCTGTCCCTTTTTCTCAGCTGGCATTTCTGCACACTAGGGAAGCATTGTCAGTACAATAAGATACACAGACAGCTTATACAGAGAGGGACCATTGACCAGGATCTAAATCACTTTGGTCCCTCCCTGCCACAAAACTAGGGCTGGAGGAGCTTTCCAGTGCCCTAAAAAGCCTCCTCAGCTTAACCTCTTTCTTTAAGGAGCAATAAGTTGGGGTTTTTTGCCTGCAGGTGAAACTGCTCCGAGATCGCCATGAAGCCTGTGTGTTGTACATTCTTCCACCTATGCCACGATGAAGTCGCAAGAAAGGGCTCTATCTCTGTGGATCATGGGCTGCCTGGAATGAATGTGTCTTTGCACCACCTACGCATGGGTCAGGTAATAGTACGATACTTGACACTCTATCCTTGGAAACTGTCACCCTCTAGCTAGGCTTCTGACTGCGTTTCTTTTTCACATCTGGACTGACTCAGTAGAAGTGTTCCCATACAGGATGGCAATGCAGCTTCCAGTTAAAGTATTGAAAAGCAATTATGTAATGTGCATCATTAGCAACCGTATTCATTATATTTCGTAACAAATTATGCTGAGACATTTGACTGAATCCAAAGTATGAGAAGCTCAGGCTTATCTTTAGCCTATGTTTCATTCAAAAGTAGCTGGTCTTTCCAGAAAGGCAGTCTTCCTGATACTTGGCTATAGACTTGATATAACGTGGAAGGAAAAACTCCAGCCATGTAAGATTTATTTGCATCAGTGTATTACTAAGCTGGTGCTTCCTGAGCTGTTAGAGGGGTCAAATGAAGGTCATGAAGATGTAGAAAAAGAGTCTCTAGATGTTACAAATGTTACTGCAGCAAAGCAAAGGAAATACATGCCACAGACATATCTTATTTACCTCCTACAACAAATCTGTGTGCAAGACTATGTGTGCATATGTATCACCTAGTAAATTTGGTGGAACTGAGAAAACTTAAAATTGAAAAAGAGGTTCCCAAGAAGAGATGAGAAATGCTACTTTAGGTTAAAGTTTGTGTTTGTGTTAATTGACTTGCCAATTGCCAATGAACTTTCTGTAACTAGCACAAGTAGAAATGCTTATCTAGACAACCTGAAAATATTTGTATCACAAATGTTTATGACCTAGAAGAATTTTTCAAGGACAGAAATGTGTGTGGCTAGGTGGCCACAATTAAAATTAACATCTAGTGAGTTAAAGAAGAATGACAAATTTAAATGTAGCTGTCATTATGGTGGCAAATTCTTGTCTGGCCAAATGACCAATTTCAAGGAAGTTCAAGGGAGTTAAGAGGCACATGCCACTGAATTTATATCAATTCATGTCAGCTCTGTATCTGGCCTGAGACTCAATATTGAATCTTGAGAATGTGCATGTTTTCTGCATTGGTCCTGCCCATAATTTCTGATTTGTTTTTAATTATATCAAAGAAGGAAATAAACTCTGTGTCCTTGCAAAATTTTCATGGCTCTTCTGATTTGGGGTGTTGCAGGGTGTAGTTAATGCCCTGAAAAGGCTTCGGGATTCCTGGATGAAAGGTGTGATGAAAGAAGTGTATTGTTATTGTTTTAGGGGAGTAATCATGTTACTGGGTAAGTCTCTGTCACTGAGACTTGCTGGACTTGTTTTGACTCGCCTATGACTCCTTTCTTTCCTAATTGGGGAGATAAAGCCCCAAGTCTATGCTGAGATGCTGCACAGTGCCTTGTGGTGTTCAGGACAGTGCATCGCCCAGACAGAAGAGCTTCTTGCTGATCTCTCTGTGGTAGCCAGAGGTGAGTACCACAGCATTCTGACTTGCTGCATGGTAGCTTGGGCAGCATGGCTATGTCATGCATGGATTTGTAGGGCAGTTTGAGCTTTGACAGAGGGTGTGGGGAGAATGGCATTAGTTCTGAGCTTACTTATGATTTGAGCTGCCTTCCATGCCTCAGTAATTCTTCTGATACATCGTTCTTTCTCCTTACCTAAAATGCATTTGTTTTCAGAGAAATCCCCAGCTCCCCTACAGCATGGTATGGTGACAAATCAAGGCAGCTTATGGCCACCAAAGACTGTGAGCTGAGGGTCATCTCACTGTGCCCCAACTCTGATCTGCTGTTTGTGCTAGTGGGGCTAGAATGCATTGCAGTCTCAACTGCTGAGCTAATAGGGTACAAGAGGGTGAGTGGAGTGAAGTAGGTAGAAGTAGCTTGTGCTCTTGTTATTTTCATGGGCTTTGTATGCAGCCAGTGAAGTGTTAATCTGTTCAGAATCAGCTTGGAAATGTACCAAATCTGGCACCTAACCATTTCACCCACCCTGCCTTGGAGTGAAAATCAAACCGCAAACCCACAAAGGCTGTAACTGCTTGGTTTTTGTCTTGCTTCTGAAGTAGATTTCAGTCAAAGTGGGATGAAGGGAGGCAGGCAGAGCTATTTTCAAAGGCTGAAAAGCAGAGATCTACTGCGATATTCTGTGACTGCCCAACTAACAGAATAAGGTCCTTGTTTATGACCAACACAGCTGGGAACAGAAATCTAAGAGATAAGCATGTTGTAGAAGTTGCAGAGCTGTATCCTAAATGGATTGCAATCAGTAGCCATGTACTTAAAACTTCCTTTACACCGGGATGGCCTCTCACATGTTGACGCAGACTGTAAAGTCCTTATGTAGTGAGTAGCCCTCCTAGTTCTGCTAAAGCTTATTTCAGAATATGGAAGTTTTTCTCAAGATGTTGGCTGTGGCACTCAACTGTAGAAAGATGTTATTGGTCAAGGATATTTCAGTTGCCAGTATTACAGTTACGTCCCACAGACTGTTGAAGTAGTATGGGAGGCTAGCTCTATCCAAACAATTAAAGAGCTCATAACCTCCAAAAAGCTACATGCAAAATGGATGAGAGAGTAAGGAACAGCAAACTTTTTGTGCTGATTGCAAAGATGATCAAGTAATCGGGGAAGCCTGCATGAGCAGCAGTTTAGCCTCATGGATATAGTTACTGGTAAGCTCTGAGTTAACACATCCCAAGGATTGAATGTGCCCCTTGACTCTTGGTGCAAATGACAAGAATAGTATTTGGAGCTCTTGTCTTTGCCCAGCTGAAGTGTGCTTCTGGGAAGCAGCAAGACCGTGGTAGAATTCAATGGTTAAGGGGAGGAGCTCAATTAGTCAGTGGCAAATACATTAGTGATGCTTTATCTGACTGCAGAGGGGTGGCATGCAGCACCTACTGTTTTTGTGGGATGTTTGAGGGTGTGGGGAGATCAAGCTGATTCAGCGTGACGCATAGAAGAACACATACATTTTGTTTCCCTCAGCAGATCCTTTCAATATTTGGAAGTCTTCTATTGTATTGGAATTGCTTTGGGAGATTCAAACATTGTGTGATTGAGGCTGGTAGGTAACTGTCCCCATCTAGACAAGGGTCTTGCAGTACCAAGGCAGGTACTAACTGCTTCTGTTTCAGTGTCCAAGGCAGCAGAGGCTGTTGTCCCATTCTCTTAGAAGTGTGTGTCCTGAGCGTGCCTGAAGAGCAGAGGAGAAATGTTAGGTTGGTGTAATTAGTTGTGGCAAAGGTAGGAATGGAATTAGCATGCCTTGCTTTGTGGCCCTGAGCTTTTGCTACAGGACTCCTGGACTAAGCCAGATGTTTTTCAGTTGTGGCCATGCCCAAACACCATGTCAAGGTAGATAGCTTCAGGAGCCTCGTCTGAATTTTCAGATTGGACTCACCAGGCCAGCAAATTAGTCTGTTCTATTGTCTTGTGAAAGGTCCCTTTTCTAGGAAGAGTCATTATAGGGTTGTGCCTGAATCCATCTTTGAATGGAAAAACTGGTCAAAGTTATGGATGTAGAGAGACCTTGATCTGCAGGTGTGACACCCAAGCTCTGACACTGGCTCTTGTGAGAGGAGTGGAATGTCAGTTAGCAGAGGTATAATAATAAAAAATTATTATAGGAAGACAGCAGTAGATTAGATAGAAGCAATTGGTTTTTTCTATTCAAAGTGTGGCAAAACACCTTCAGTAAACAGCTGGTGCCAGAAGACATTGTTCAGATTCATGTGAAAACAAATGTAAGTCAGGGTGGTATGAGGGTTTAGCTTAAGAAGTCAAAACATGTCAAGGGCAGGTCTGCAAAACAACAGGGTAGCTGTTCCCTGCTTATCCAGCAGCTCAGTGACTGGGGCCTTTGATTTGGACAGAGATGATAAATGTACCGTTCTTTTTCTTGTCTGGACTGGCATTTTCTGGTCAGTTTTCTGATCCTGTTTTTGCTGAGGCTACTAACAATGCACAGTAGCTCAACTGGCAGGATGGATAAGCTCAATATAGTCATGTCAAGTAGAGGTGGGAGCTGAACTTTCATCACTTCCATTATGAATTAACATAGTAACCTTTTAGGGGGTGTGATACAGGATGGGAGAGAAAAAATGTCTTGTCACCTGGGTAGTGTGCTTGTCTTTTGCTTTTGGGTAAACATTCCAAACTGGAAAGTAAGAATTCATTTGAGGTTAATCAGAAATCCAACCTGAAATCCTTTCTGTTTTCTTCTTGGTTTCACAAGGAAGACCATATAATTTTAGGTAAAATTCTTCTTCCTAATATGCCAATACCTATTAATGTAGCTTTCTTTCTTGATGCATTTCACTTACAAAAACATCCTTTATCGAGGCTAGATTTAATATATCTCTATAAATACAACTTTACTGTGTTTAAAATATCTTAAGTCTTTATAAACATAGCTATTTCCAAAATAGTTACATCAGATTATTTTTTTTACAATATGGAATAGCTTTTTAGTGATCACAACACATTCTCGGTCTCGAAGCCAAGGTGTGTAAACTAGGAAACTTAATAGTTTGCATTTCCAGACCGAAATTAATTGTGATATGAAACTGTCAGATTTTGCTATTTCCACTGATTGTTTTGGACACCCTGTGAATGAAATATGTTTTAAATGAGAACAGGGTTTGTTGGAGGAGATCCAGTGTTCATCCATAGTGTTGTCAAGTTAAGCAGTTTTATACTGAGCTAAAAGATCTTGGGTTTGAAAATTATTGATAATTCACTGCAGACTGAAAGCTGCTGGACACAGACCATGAAGAGGTGATTTTTCAGAGCAGAGAGGAACATTTGTGATCTCTCAGTGGAGTCTGGCTTCTGATCTCTTAACGTTTACGCTTGAGGAATGAAAGTTATCTTCATCCATGTTGGAGGATGAATGCATTCGTATTACCTGAATTCCTCTCTCTGTTGGAGTTAACCCCCTTGGAGTTAATTCTCAGCTTACTAGAGTTTAGGCAGTAAAAAAAAATCCAGGTGTGTGGTGTAAGGAAGCAAGAAATGTGAGGCTGTACAAAACACCTGACTCTGGAACGCGTTTACACAGACAGCTGTAATATCGGGGGACTTCTGAGGAGAATGCCTATATATTAAGTACTGTCTCTTTGCCACAAGAAGAAAGCAAGGACACATCTGTCGTTGAAGGGGATGAGGTCATCTCTGCCCTTGCTTTAGTCAGCACTGCAGAGGATCAGTGTTTCTGGGTGGAGCAGAGTTTTCTTGGTGACTAGAGTGCAGAGAAGACCATGCTGAAGTCTGACTCCTAAACAGGGAGATCTGCCTGCCACTGAACTGTTTAACTATGGAGATGGATGTCCCAGACACAGGAATACCTGTCAGGTGGTTATTCTAGTAGAGCTGCCCTCCATCCTTGCCATCTAGCAAAAAGGAAGAAAAAAATCTAAGGGGGCAAAGAAGCTAGTCTGAGGTGTAACGTGTGTGATTAATGACTGTATGGGCACTACTGGAAATATGTCCTGTAAGCAATACACATTTGGTGGTGCCTGCATTTGAGCTGTTCAAAGAGTAAAAGATAGCTCATCTGGGGCCGAACAAAACCATCTGTTCCCTGCATTCATGCTGATTCCTGAAATGGGTGGCAAAAGATAAGGTATTTCCTAAAAAGCTGAAAACAGGAGAGTTTTTCTTTCCAAAGTCTTCTGCGCAACTGGTGTCAGGCATGTCTACTGATAAAATAAAGCCCCTCCCTCCTTCTTCCCCCCCCCCAAAAAAAGGGTCTTGCCTACAGGCATGACAGTTGAAGGATCCACACTGGCGACTCTATACTGTGGGAGGTGATGAGACTTGGTGTTTCCATTGTGCAAGAGATTCTGTTCTGTTCTGTTCTGGTACTTATCTTAGCAAGATGGAAGTCAAGAGCTCCTGATAAAAGGAGGAAAGTGTTTTGGGTTTGAAGAGGTATTTCCACTTTAATTTGTACCTCATATAAATTTGCCACCTAGGTGAATGTCGAAATATATGGAAGTGCTTCCTTTAAACTGTTTTCTTAAAACATTCTAAAGTGAAATCAGTATCAGAAGTGGAGGAGGTTTTTATTCCTCACCTCCCATGTTTCCATTTCCCCCAGCACCACAGCAGTTCCTAAGATAGCTGTTTCCCCTTGCAAGTCTGTGTGACCTGTGGAGAGCAAGCAGTTCTGAAATGGTGGAAGAGAAGGGGGGCTGTGCTGCCAGAGGGCAAAGTCAGATGCTAAACCAGAATCTTTAAAACATGAGAGGTGGTTAGTTAAGGAGGGACAGAGGCATATTGCTATAGTGGGCTGTTCTGGTTAGCCAAGGGACTTGCCCTCAAGGACAGTAATTGTTTGCCCATGAGCCATGCTGCAATTCCATGAGCCAGGACTGCCAAAGACCATGAGCTGTGAGATGAAGATGGGAATGCTTCATGGGAGGCTGAAGCATGTTAGAGAAACTGAGGTGGGACAGTCTTGCTGGTCTAAAGTTTTTACCTGTATCTCTGCATTTGTTAAACCCTCAGGGGTAACAGATAGTGTATAACACTGAAGGTCCAGATGGCAGAAGTCAGGAATTCCACAGAACCAGTTGCACCTCTAGTGTGTGTATATCATGTGCTTACTGCAACGTGCAGTTTCCGAAGGAAGTAATCTTGGCCAGCCTGGACTTTCAGACTCTTATCAGCTGCCCTACAGACTGTTTTGCAGAGCCTTGCTATCAGGGAACTGAGCCAGTCTAGTGGGGAGACAACTACATTGGGGGAAAACTTCAACTGTGCAATGCCAGAACCTAGATTTGCCCCAGTAAAGCAGGCACAAAAAGAGGCAAGGGACTAGACTTCTCTGTAGCATGTGACACTGAAAGAGATGGCTTGATCCTGGTCTCACGTGGATCAAAGGGTGTAAAACAGAATGGTGACTAGCCAGTTGAGTCCCTCCTCCCCACGCTGGCTACTGTCATTTGTCACTCCAGGCACCTTCAAGAGATTATTCCGCATGTTTTTCTGATACTCTGTACTAATTCCAACCATGATGTAGAGACTCAGTGCATGGCATGGCAACAATTACTGCATAGTGTGTTGTGGAATTACTGGGGATCTGAAATAATTGTGCTTAAGGCTTTGCATCATCCTACAACAAAGCTACTGAGAACATGCACAAAAATGCAGTTTTCCTAATGTTCTCTTGCTTAATACTGCACAGGAGGACATAAGTGGAGGAGAAAGGCTTATGTGCCTTAGTCCATCTGTGAGTCAAGTTCCCAGCCCTTTTTTCAGGTCTGCTATTGGCTTTCAGTGTGTCATGAAGTCTGGGTCTTGTTGCCATACCACACTTACACACGAGCAGGTATTTCTTTTCCCTCTGACAGATTGTCTGGCCAGAGCCAGGATGTGGTCTTTCACAATGTGTGTGGGTTTGGTGCAATAAACCTCAAACCCTGTAGGGGATCATTAGATGTTGCTACTCATATCAACTAAAAATAACTCAAAGCTGTATGTTATATGGCATCTGTGGACAGTCAGCTGAACTGAAATCTGTGTGATATTTCTTGATGAGAAATTGTCTCTACTAGCAATACCTGCACAACTCTAGTCCTTTCTTGGGGATGCATATGAGGCAATGGAAGCAAGTTAGAACACAGGAAGTTCTGACTAAATATAAAGAAAAAGGATGGTAAGAGGGCGATCAGAGACTGGACCAGGACTCCTGAGAGAGAGGGGGATTTCTGTCCCTGAAGGTACAAAAAGCTTGCCTAGGCAAAGCGTGGAGCAACCTGCTGTAGTGAGACCAGGTTTGAGCAGAAGGCCAGACCTGCAGAGTCTAGAGGTCCTTCTCAACTTACCTCACTGTGTGAGGTTTGTCAGCTGAGCTAAGCTGTGTCAGATATTGTTTGGCTCAGGATGCACTATTGTCTTTGTAACAGAGTTTAATTCTTCCATGTTGTTTTCTTCAACGCAGATAGTGATCTGGATGGAGAGAGCAACGAATCGTTTGGAGCCGTGGAAGATTGCAGTCATCGTTGTGTCAGTGATAGTAGGCTTAGCCATCATCATTGGCTTGATTACAGTTTCATTGTGCCGTGGTAAGTGCATCGCTCTTTTTGTTGTCACCAGTCTTCAGGAATCTGTTTTCCACTCATTACTGTGGTCTTGTGTGATGATTTAGGTATACAATTCACCCCTAGTATAGAATGTGCATGAGAAAGCTTACTAGATCCTGTTCAAGATCTGAATGTATTATAATGCCTGCAAGAATACTAAAATATCAGTTACTTGAAACAGAGATTTAAGTTTTGTCCTTCTTTCTTCTTGTCTTTCCAGCAGGCCTCCATTGGTAACTACAGTTAACCAAAGGTTAGCAGTCTTCGTGTAAGCCAGGTTTATGTCTAGTACTCAAGCTATGCATAGTAAGCTTGGTTTTTAACACTGTTTTAGCAGTAACTGGACATAGCATCTCTAGCTGAGGATATTCCAAAAAGAGAAAGGACAGAGCTTTAGGCTTTTTTGAGCCCAGGAGGCAGTCCTGGTTGCCAGGGGCTCAGTTTCAGTAGCAGATGAATGGAGCTAAGTCATTCCGTTCCCAGTGTCTAAAATACCAGAGTAAGGAGTTTTGAAAAGCCTTTCTGCTGAGATGGAACTGGTGTTGTTACTGTCACAGCTCACCAACAGTCAGCCAGGTTATGGCTTGCATCAGGACACAAGACAGAACAGTGGCAGAGCTACAGCTTAGCTTTGCTTTTTTGCTAACTCTGCATTATGGGGCTGTTCACCAGAGAGCGAGATTTTAAACAACCTGACTGCTGAACAGATGCAAACAGCTCTGGGCCACCTGCCTCTCAGAGGGGCAGAGGCATGTCACAGTGCAGCCAGGAAGGAATTAGAAGGGACATATGTGTGCTGGTGTGTCTCATGCTCTGCTCACCTCAGGCTGATGAGAAGATTGTCCCAGAGAAATGTTGTAGTGGGTGTAATTTAGAACTACTTGAGATTCTACTTCAACGTAGAAATGAGCCCCTAGCTGGTCCATGGAACAATATGGTGGTCCAGAGTCCCCTTTTTCCAAAGTGCTATTCAAGCTATACTTACACAGCTGACAGGGTCACAGCCTGAGTCTGGAAGTCTTACTCATGCAATGCACTGTGAGGTGTTGTACATGTCTGAATTGTTCTGAACAAGATCAGCCACCTTCCCTTTTCTCCTCTGTAGATCAGGACCGATATTTCAATGCATCTTTCCTAATCACCAATGTCAATTATGACCCTCAGTATGAAAGGCAAACCACAGAAGAGTACAGGCGCTTGAGTGAAGAGATTGAAACCATGGTAAGCTAAGCTATTTCTCTGTTTCTGCCTGACCTCTGGCAAAGAGTCATGCAATTGTTTAATAAAGAGTCAGGGTTGATTGTGCCTCATCCTTATGCAGCTGGCCTTACCTTTCAAACCTTGCTTTAGTGGGTTAAAGCAGATGGTAAGCACAGGTGCTCTCTTCTAGCAGCCCTGTGGTGGAACAGGCACTCATAGAGCAGAAGGGACAGCAAAATCAGCCAACTCAGCTGCTTATTTTAGTTTTGCATCCTCTGATGGAAATTTAGTGGTGGCTTTGGTGTGGATGTGCAGATTTGAAGGCATTTTCTTGTGTTTCAGAGGCTCACAGGACTGTTATATCTTGAGACCATGTACATATTACAAGTATATTTTAACAGTCTCTTTTCCTTTAACAGATATCTGCAGTATTCAGAAGGTCCTTTCTAAGTAAAAGGTACATCAGGTCCCACGTTTTCAGTCTGAGGTAAGTAATGTGAAGGTCAGGAATAAGCAGGGATGTGATAAATATCCTTTCTTCCTACCCCTTGACCATATGGAGTGTGCCTTGTTGTTTATGCTTGGATTACACTGGCAAGATGACCAAATCTTGGCTGGTTGTCACTCTCCCTCAGTGCTCAAAACAGTGAGGGCTCAGTTAGCTACAGAGGTCAGCAACAAAGAGAAATTTTGCCTTAAAATTCTGCAGGTGGATTACTTGAACACCAGTTGTTTGTGGCTGTGACTGAATTACTCAGTGATCCCAGTCTCTGCGATTAGTTAAGATCTTGAGAGATGCAGAATGAGATCTTTATTCTGCTTAATGCTTCCTGTTGAAGCTCAGGCTGGTGATGACCCTTATGCATCATGTATAGCAGAAGGTGACTGTTCTCCCTCTCTGAAAAAGTCTGAAGGAATAAATTATTCCACTATGAGCTACCTGGATACAGAGTTGAGGAAAGGAAGCAAATGGGACGTACAGGTATACAGGTCCTGTGTGAGAGCTTTTAAGTCTTTCATCCCTCTGCAGTAATTATGTATCAGTCTCAGAAATGAGAGTCATTGCTTCCCTCAACTTCACATTACTTTTCTTTGGAGTTGTATTTCTGTAAGACTCAAACCGCTGTGGAATATTTTTCCATAGATAGCAAAGAATGTGAGGCTTCCCACAAATGTCCTTCACAGCACTTCTGGGCTTGCTTGCCTTTACCTGTCTCTACACAGCACTGTCACTTCAGTAGCACATATACTAGAATTGGAACGATGCAGAGATTAGCGTGGCCCCCGTGCAAGGATGACACACAAATTTGTGAAGCATTCCATGTTTTTTTGCTGGGTCCTGCACTTTGGTCACAATAACGTCAAGCAATGCTGCAGGCTCAGGAAGAGTCAGCACCGACTGGCCAGGGCAGAACCATTCTCTTGAGAGAATCCTGGGGCAGCCAGGGCAAAGCCTGAAGGAAAAAGGCAGCCAAAGCCAACAGCAGCCTCGGGACAGGACTCGCCTCTGAGGATCATGGCAAGACGGATTGTAGAATACACATTAAAGAGGATCTGTGAGCCTGGGCCTCTACGGACCCCCAAAGAGCCTTCCAGAAGGCCTGTCCTCAGAGCACCCACCCCATGGAACAGGCAGGAGAGACAGGACACTGAAGGCAACCTCCTCTCCATGTGCCCAGGCTTTTCCAAGCAGCCTGTCCCTCCGGCGGCTCCCAAGGCCCCTGCCCAGGCAGGAGCCCGGCACAGGGTGATGCTGCCTTGAGCTTCTCCAGGCCCAGCCCCAGCAGCCCGTCTCTCGACTGTGATGGAGTTTCCTCAGAGGAGTCCTTGTGGGCAGCTTTTCCTGCCAGGTGGCCGCAGGGAGTGGGCTGCTTTTTGTAGCTGTGGGGGTGGCCAGAGGCTGCGCTGCAGGTTCCTGCCTTCAGACGTGGCTTCCTGCCTGACTCAGGGGTCCGTTACTGGCTCCCCGCTGGTGTCCGTTAGCCCAGCTAACTCTGCTCTCCCAACCAGCTCCAACTCTGCTCTCCCAATGAGTTATACTTCTACTCTCCCAACCAGCTCCAACTCTGCTCTCCCAACCAGCTCCAACTCTGCTCTCCCAACCAGCTCCAACTCTGCTCTCCCAACCAGCTCCAACTCTGCTCTCCCAA